CTTGTGTCATAAATTCTTAATGAGTTTCCCTCCATGCCACGAAAGATAAATCATACAATGAAATAAAATTCTAAAAGGTTCCTTGCACGCTAAAACTCAGTAAGTAAGCTGGCCGCTTTCAAACTAAAGATACGCGGTAAGGTAAAGTAGTTATTTTCATTTAAAATGATATATACTCATCCATAAAATTTTTCAGATTAATGTGCCATTAGACTGTGTCTCAAATTTAATTGAGAGCAAGTAGGTATATATAAAATTTGTATTCACTTATTAATTGTTTATATTCATCGGAATTAAAATATGTTCCAGTTTGTTATTGTTCTATTGGTATACTGAATAGTACATTACATACGCCAGACTGTTTCAAATCGACATGATTGTATTACAATCAAAAATAAAAATGTTTAAAAAATTAAAAATATTTTATTTACAGTCACAAGTTACCCTTAAGTAAAATGTTTTAAGACGTTAATTTTAATGTAACGAAGACATTTCAAATCTGGTGGCGGCGTGTCTTAGGAGGAACCTGGGCTACCAAATTGTCATTTGTACTAAAAAATTCCCCATTGGTAGTGCTAAAAACTTTCCAACATTCAGTTTCACACAAAATCCTGTATTGCGATAAGGCGTGTCAGTTAAATGGAAATATATAACCAAGTCTCACATTTTAGAGCAAATATTGTAATTCAGGCTTTTTGACTTGGGTGTGTCTCATTGGACCAAAAAAAAAAAAAAATTGGAAGCGAATTGAAGACGAGAGAGTTTTTAGGAATCATATTTTATTTAAACACAAGATTTACTATTTAAAGGAATTGAGGGATGTACAAAACTGCGATGCAAATTACGTGTGCTAAAATAAAAAAAATCTAGATGAAAATAGTCAGCAGAAGCATATCATACACGTGAGTTCTTTTATAAAGGTTGTAATCGCGTGTTGATTCCAATAAACCTGCATTTTCAAAGTTGAAAAAGTAAATTCCACGTGCTATTGATGAAATTTAGCTCCAATTATCTGAAAATGTTATCACAGATTTCGGCAGAACAGCAGGGTCGTTTCAGCGAAGTAGCTGTGTGTGTTCGGCCCATATTGAACGAATGCGCTTTGTAATAATGGAATTACTTAAAATAGATAGGATTTTCAAAGCAAAAATTAAAATTTAATATGTGGTTTGGTTCTGAAAAACTGTTTTTTTTCCATTTGGAGCGTCGAATTGTTTTGGCTTCATTCCGATTTATTGGATATTATATTAGTTTATTCAAGATTGTTATAAACGTATCACCACATTTTTCATGGGGCCCCCATCAGCGCGTATGAAATGTCAAGCAAATGTTTTCGCGGAACACAGTTTGGAAACCTCTGTTGTAGGATATGTGGAAAGCGAGACAGTAAACAAAATTTAGCCACTTACAGTGATTTAGCCGGAGGAATCATGGAGAAATCGTTCCTGTTCCCTACACGATACAGAAAATATATTGCGAAAAAGGATTTAAATGTGAACCTAATATAGTTAAATGACGTTCCGTCGCATATATTACTCTTTAAATTCAATTTATGATCCCGTAATGGTAATCGGATTCCTTATAGATGCAAATCAATATTTTATTTGTATGAGTTAAATATTTATAGCGGCCGACATTTTTTTATCGTCCCAGATTTAAAATATGTTTGCTCAAAACACAATTTACTCATAGTTATATAATTGGTTTGAAAAATTAATTTAATTTTCCTCATACTGAATCACTTGTTTATCTGTACAAGTTATTTAAATTTCTCGTTTTCCTATTATCCATTGGATTCGAGGCCTTTATATAAAAATACATGCATTAATAAAAAAAATCGTACGCATCAATGCTTTCCAATAGGTCCAGTTCTGAATTATCTATGTGTTGAACGTATTGAACTTAAAACTGCTTTTTAGTCATCAGCCTAAAGCATACATGCTGAATATGCTGCTTTCCATGTTTTTCACTAAATAACTGGTTTATAAATATGCTGTAATGTTAGTAGTGTTTTTAGTTAAGTATTTATATTTTGGTTGCACAAAGTGTTCAAAAACAACAGAAATACTTCTTTGTATTGGGAGCGTTTAGGAATTGGAATTAATTGGGTTAACAGTGTAACCTACTCTTCTAATCATTTGTATTACAAGGAGACCCAATACAATGGTTTTTGTTTAAAGACTAATCTGAAAACCAAGATCTGAATGCAGGCAAGTTTAATTGTTTCTACAAATTTGAAACGCGCTTATTCGGAAACCTCTGGACAAAAAACAACAAAGTACTAACTAATGAAAGATAATTGAACGTCCTTTAAAACGATGTGCCACTTGAGTGGTAAGTTAATAAAGCCACCAAGTTTTCAAATTGACACCCGGAATAATGTATGTTTAAAATGAACAGCTCATGAGTATGCAATTTTTATTATTTGAACCCCATTCTTGTTAGAATTTTGTTTCTGGACGTAAAAAATTAGTTTTTAAAAAACGTTAATTTTTACAGACCAAAAATAGATTCTTTCAACAGCGAACTAACTACCTTAACTGCTAACTTAAGACTAATTTCCTCATGCCGAATGCGCAGCTTATATAGTAATTAAATGCTGCATCGACAGTTATTGAGTGAAATACACAGTGGTCTGCGTAAGTGGTCATATAACTCTAGCATCAGTATCAATGAAATAGTTAATTCTCGAAAGAAGCTCGTAATTTAACTTCCCTTATTTCTACAACTGGAAGAAAGTTGAAAAGTAAAAGTTCTAATGACTTTTGAATTTTGAGCATAAAGCACTGCCTTTTGGCTAATTTCTGCAAAATGACAAGCCTAATTTCTATTTACGGCCATATGATTTAAAGCAGAAGTTTGAAAGTTCTCGCTTCTTTGCAGAAAAAAAATTCGTTATCAAGATGTAGTTAATCCAAAAATTAATTAAGTCCGTTTCAAGTTTTTGCATTCAGTGTAGTGAGGCATATATTTAAAATGCATTTTCGAAATAACGGTATTTATCACCGGCATGTAATTTGGTCTTATGTACCTAGTTTGTCATGAAATTGGATTTGGGTAGTTAATACATTTTATAGATTTGAAAAAGTGCAACATTTTAGTCGTATCAAAATTTTGTTTTTTTTTGCCAAATACGTTTCCCAAAAAACATTTTTATTCATTTTTCAGTTTAATACAAAATAATTTAACACAACAAAAATTACCCTCTTTATTGTAGTTATTTAAAATGATACGGTTGACTTTCGAGATTTGTAGTTCTGTAAATTTGACGGAAGGCAACAATTTAAAATGCAGTCAACATGAAATCCTAAATGTTCATATCCGTGACTTGGTATTTAAATATAGCTTCCAGTTTTCAAACCAAAATTTATACTTTCTCGGTAGAGGAAAGTGTAGGTATAACTAAAATCTAATTTCCAACTGGAAAATAGACAATAGGTTGAAGCATTTTAGTTCAGCGTGAAATCTTTGCTTGAAATACACGTGTCGGTGTAATTTTCCAGCTACAATAGTTCGAATTATTACTAACTTTTGCGGGAAAATTCCTTGAAGCAAAGTTTGGCGTATTCAAGAAGTGTTTTTGCTAAACATATTATATTGTGGAAATACGTTTTGGTCGAATGCTAGGCATGACTACAAACCTACTTTATACTACTTTTGGGCAAAAATGTACTAACGAATTAATTTTACATGTTACACAAATTTGTCTAAATCGAGAAACAGTATCAGAATGGGTCAGTTGTATGTTACACAGAATTGTAACCAATTTTTTAACTTTTACTTATTTTTAACAGGCAATTTAAAAAAGTGTTGCATGAGAAACGTGCACGCGATCGGCATAAAGACAGGTATTAGGTTTTCTTCAAAAGTATAAAAAAATGTGAGTGAGAAACAATACATTGTGATCAGAACCGCCAAGACTTCAAACGACAGCAATCTATTTTTAACTCATATTTTTCTCGGAATTCTTCTCTCTCCTAAAATGCATTTCAAATTCAATTTGACAAAAGTGACGCAGTATCTGGCAACCCTATAAAACTGCCGAGAAGTTCTGATCCATTTTGCAATCTTACTTCTATTCCTTGTAAAATAGCTTTCATATCAGAAGTAGTAGGAACAATTAAGTTTAAACGAATCTCTCAAAAGTGTATGGTTTTGCTTTCGGGGTGAAATTACACTTCCGAATATTTTATGAACTCTCTGAAGTTCATTTTCCAATATATGATTTCGCATTTTAAAAGCAAATTTCTATATCCACTAGCTCAAACTTTCTATTTTAATATTTTCTTCCGTTTGTTTCTCATAAAATTGGGGCAAATTTTATAATTACATTCTATGTCATTCATAAATTTCTTATCGCTTATTTAATTTAGTGTTTCCTACAAATCGACTCTACAGAGGTATAAATTTATGGTGTAATGATATTTATACATTAATTTTTATCCGCACAATGCATGTGTAATATCCTTGCATAATTCATGAGACAAGGTACTAAACTTTAATAAGGTTTGACGCGAAGATTTATATAAATTATTCGTAATCTTGATGGTCCAATCCCACAAATGGAACACCCAATCACAGGCATTGAAGGGATGTCTTAAATGAGGTATCATCCGCTCTTCCCTATTCTAAAAATGTCAAATTGTAAAAAGTCGCAATCAAATTTCAGATTCTATGCATCATCGTTGTGATGACATGTTAATTCAAATCGAATGCTTAGAAAATACATAATAAATGTAAAATTGTCCTTTAATCAGAGTTAACGGCTAAGCATAAATCTTATGGACGATAGCGCCAAAGTGTAAAATTGAAGTAAAGTAAAAAAGTTGATTGCAGCTTGCATTTAATGCGTCCAGCTTTCGATAAAGAATAATAGACTAATATTGCAATAACGAATTTATCTTTACTTTCGTTATGATGAAATCAATACCTATTTACAATAAAATAAATGGCAGGCAGTACATTTCAACCCTTAACTGAAAAAGTAGTTCATGACTCACCAACAATCGCTTCTCATACTCTTCCTCAATCTCAGTGCCGTTATAATAACGTGGTTCGGCATTCGTGTCTGGAAAATAGAATCCTCTCCTACAGACGCACTTATAGCTTCCACGTCGGAATCCTAAACCAGATATTGGGACGCACTGGAAAAATAATAAAAAAAACCTTATATTACTTCTTTTATTAGGAATACGAACATCTTTTCAATTCAGAAAATTGATAAGCAAATAGTCCCAAAGCTGAACATTTGAAATTTTATGGGAACTAACGATTTAAAGAGCCCTTGTTCATGGAAAATATCGCAAATTTTTTACAGCCATATTAAATTAGGCTCGGGTCAAGTTTGCCGACTTGATGGAAGCCAGAATTTGCAATGACAACCAAAATTAGCAAACGGGATTTTGTGAGCAGGTACTCTACATAATTTTATTAGGGGCCACACAGATAATGCGGTTTCCACGTAGGGTACGATTGTTATCGTGCAGAGGATTTAGTTGAAATTTAGTTCTCTGTTTGACCTAGGGGATACTTAATTGCACATTAAATGTGATCATTTTAGTTAAAGCTTTTCCATTGAAGCATTAAAAACTCCTTCAAATAGTTTTGCCACTTTTACCTCAGATCAGCTAGACATTTTCCTATTTTTTGAAATATGTATTATTTCGCGAAATATAAAGTTTACTGAAAAGATGCTTCCACTACTTAAATATATTTTTTTTGCGACCTTAAAAAAACAAAACGCTGATATATTTGCTCGGTTAAACGCATTAAAAGGAAGTTTCTCGAAAACAGAGGCTGCCTGCTGCAAAAAATATAATATGACAAAAGCACGGTTAGAGAAATGACACCTTTCAGATATTCCGGTTTCATTTATTTGTAAATAATAAAATTATGTTTCCGTTTAGATAAAAATTGGTAGATTACGTACATCTATTAGTTGCGAGTCATAATACTGAAAAGAAGGATGCTTTGAAATGTAAGTAACTTTTACAAGCAGTTACTAAAGGGGAAGTAGAAGCACTTAATTTATAAATGTGGTTTTCCTGCAAAGTTCGATGGCAGTCATTTATAAATAGTTATTTTGCAAAATATTTCATTAATACCAAACTTTGCCTCTTAAAACTCAAAGTTTTAAGTATTTAATCACACACAGTTGCCGAACCTTGAGAGAATATTAAAATTTAATTATTTAAGCTATTAAATTTTTAAAACATTGAGCATTATTTTAAATTACTGATCAGAAGAAGCTGACATTCTTGATTAAAGAGTAACTTTTCGCTTGCAAACTTTACTACCAACATTTAGTAAAATTAAAGTTGAACCAACTTCTGTGTTAAATCAACAGCAGCTTTTCTTAGAATATCAGTTCAGCCGATTTAACTACTTATTAAAACGTTAGATAATCGTGAAAGCGAAAAAAAATTGTGTTGACCAAAAATCTTTTCACTAAAAATAGCTGAGTTTTGTGCAGACTCGTTTCTACGTGTTGTTTCAAAGTCTATAGCACCTTAGTTAGTCCCTTTGTCCGTTAATGTATTGATAATATCAGAGCAAATCATGCCGCAACTATTTGTGGAAGTTCTTTTTGTCATTGCTTTGAACTAAACTGGAAATTACTGTACGAAAGCACTTTGTAAAATATCTTATAGAATTCTTCGTATCTAGGGACAAAATGTTGCAAACATTACCTTTCTAGGTCAAAGTTCTACCACATTTTCATAGAACGAATATCTAAATAAACTCAACGTGTTTGCTGAAGCTTCTATCCCGCATCGTGAAAATTCGACCTAGAGATAAGGGAAAGAAAAATAGGAATTTTAGTGAAACTCTGAATAAGTCAATTAATGCACTTTCTAAATTATTTACATAGGAATCTTGATCAGCTGTGTTAGGTCTACAAATCAGTTCGAGGTTAATTTACAATTTTGTACTAAAATAATAATTTGATTGGAGAAGAGAGCCATCGGATATTGGCATGTATATTAAATGTTGTTAAGTGAGTTTGGATTTCGAAATGAACAATATTTCTCTTGTCAATACATATTTCTAACGTAGATGCAATTTATAAATTGTCAATAATTAGTACCGAGTTGCATATTTCACGATAGAACATATATCAACTTTATTTGACAAAATGTGAATAAGTTGCCAGAAGCTACTATCTTCTTTTGCGCTACATGTTCGCGTGTCACTTAGGTATATCAGCCGTATTCTTTTACACATTGCGATTTTGCAGTTGAAATTCTCCACTTCATAAATTTGAAATCTAATATTTAGGATTTTTCAGTGCTTCAAAATAATTGAACAAAAAGCGGCGGTTTACGTGGACTCAAGAAGTTTTTTGTTATGCTTTATTCGGGTTTTCCTCAAATAATTAGTCGATCAATCGATTTCATCGATCAATTTCGATTTGTCCATTTGCTTTATTTAATATGGGAAGATGGTACTAACTGGAATGTCACAAAGGAATGCTACTATCGTAAATGTTTGATGATGACTGATAATTAATATAGAAAAGTCGACAGAAGGCACTTGCAAATTTTGTTACAAGTGAATGGAAGGGTTGAATATCACTTCGCAAAAAGCAGAGTAAAAGCTATATGGAGACACACGAATATGTGGCTAATAACACAAGTGAATAAAACGCAGCATGTTAGAATTTTTCAGAAAGCTTTTGAAAATGTTCGTTGAAGACGCAAACGAAACATCATAACTGAGAATCCAGTTTGAATGATGGAAATCGACGGGAATTAGCGCCACTTTGTAATCATCAATTAAATTTTAAAATAAAACCTCTTGGTGTGAATGGTAGAAATGTGCTGAATACTTTTAATGGAAATGTATATGAAATATAAATAAATCTTTAATAATTATCATTCTATTTTCTACCTTCGTAATTCTACAGGGATTACTTTTCCAAAGGTTTAAATTTGTGTTTCAAGTGCTTCGTAATTGCACAGGCACGAAAATTCATATTTCCGGTTGTCGAGCAGAGTTGAGATGTTGGGCATATAGAGAAAATCCTGATTCACTCGTGCTAAATTGCTGGAATCCCCAGGGCGATAAAAAATAATAAATTGCTTGTTTTATACTGGCAAAGATTGACAAGTTCTAATTATGCAAAATTGTAGAGTTTCCATTCGAATTTTGATTTTGTTTTTGGTACCAGACTTACAATTAAAATTTCGATCAATACAAAGACGCAAATTTATCACGAACATTATTGTGTTACAGGCACATGTAATTGAACAAAATCTGCAGCAATCTGCTGAAGTTTAAACAAAGCATCTATTTTTTGAAGCTGAAATGACAATAAAACTTCAATAAACTTGATTGTTTCAGTTTTCCAGCTTTTAAAGCCGCACTACTTTCAACCGGGCTTTTATTGAGTCACAGATCCAGCTTAGATATAAAATTAATTTGAGCCCTAATAAGCACTAGTTTCACGATTGAGTTGGCACTTTGAAAATTTCGCTATTTTCAATATTAGACGAAATTAGTCTAGTAATAAAATTCGAGCGCAAAATATTGTTTGGTACCAGAAGGGCAATATGTTTTGCATATTGACAGCACTTTCTGCGCTTGTAATAAAAGGTGCTATTTCGTATAATACTTGAAGAAAACTAAAATTAATTTTTCAGAACAGTTACTGCATCAATGTTTGTAATAATATCAGGAGTGCACGAATCTCGGTTTCTGAAGCCCCTATAGAGTGTAACTGAAAATACAAATTAAATAACCTAGTTATCTTATTCAAAGCATTTTAAATATAATATACGTAGATTTATATAACAGGTTCAGATTGAAATTTAATGCACTATCTATTGAATAGTTGCGTATTAGCAATTGTTAATCGTTATCAAAGTAAAGTTTCAAAATCATTTTCGAAAAATTTCTAATCATTCAAACAAAAAATGAACATGAAGAGATAGATATCAAATACAATTTTTATCTACGATAATGCCAAATTTTGTGTTTTTCAGAATATTACCAACGAGCTCCGGGTTTGTAAGTCTGAGAAAGAAACTGAATTTCTCGACATCTTCTCTTTTAAAATATAAATCCAGTATATATTATTTTATAAATTGCTGAAAAAGTGTAATAAACTTGCTTTAATGAACTAAATTTGAAATTAGATCTAAAACATGTTTGTCTTTATAACATATACATTTATGAAATATGTTTTTTGAGATTTATTTAAATGTTAAAAATATGAAACTCTTTTTGTCAAGGTGTATCTAACTCGGAATGTAATTCATCATAATTTTTGCAGTTGTTGAAAATACATCATTCGACTTTGCGTTACAAGCTTTTTCTAAATCCAGCCAACTCTCTATTCAAATAATTTATTATCAAATCGGCCTTTCGGTTTTCTTGAACGTGAAGGCATTTTCCATCTATACCCCAAAAGCGCATCCATATATATTAAAGTTCTAAAATTCAGTGCTGATGCGGATTTGTAAGAAAGTCTGTATGCAGTCACAGTGATCTCCAGGTTGCGAAAGCTATGTCATATTCCAGAAATGAAAATACGCCTGCGGGAATAAATTTGAATTGAAATGTTATATTGATGCGGAAAATATAGTATTTTGTTAGGAGGACCTGATGGTAATATTAAGCAAACTTTATTGGAATTAATGGTTAACTTTATTGAAAGATTCCAGTCTTAATATTATTAATGCATGAACTTTGCAATTTCAGCAAAGCCGTCGATATGAATTCATCTAACCCAGTGGAATATTATAAAAGTAGTGGGCCACTTACATTGGGTTGATAATATTGATTTCATTGAAGCGACACAACAGACGCTTTCTTCAGGCTCTCTCAGGCTCGAAAGAAAATCCACTGTGTTTTTATTTCATCATTTAACGGTTATTTTTCGGTCTCTCAGTAAATGACATGTTGATATTGAAAAACTAAATTAGTCATTTGGGAGATAAAAAAAACTTGTAAATTGATGCCAAATAGGCATTTGTCATGGAGCTCTTTCTCATCACTTTTCTTGAAAAGTAAAGACAAAAAGTATTATTAATGTAGCATCATTATAATGTCCAATTCGCCCATTCCAGTTGAGCAAGCTCTTTATTGAAACGAATAGTTCCTAATCAATCTTTCCATTATGTCAAAGATAGGGCCATCTTCGTTTCAGCAGTAATATTGTCTGGGTTTCGTCAGAGCTATGTGTTGGCAGGCGTTCAGCAATAGGTTAAAATCATTACTTTAAAAGCTTTGAATGTTCTGGACAAAAATCGCCGACTACGACTTCGTGTATGAGCTTTTTGATAGACACGATAAGAATAAGCGGTTTGTGGTGGTATCCGATCGGTCCGATTTCTGTCTGTAAATACGATAATGTCTGGCAAGAAGCTGACAGAGGAAGCTTGCAGTTAGATTAGGCTAAAAATACACATGTTGGTTTCCTAGTTCGCTTTCAGCGCAATCGATTTTCTTCTGTTGTTATTTAACTAATTGAGAAAACTATCCAGAACAAATGAACTTTTATCATATAATGCACTAATTATTTCCAATATCATGAAACTTGATTGTGTTATTAGCAACACTAAAAATGGAATTCCCTCTTCAATTCGAATAATGCAATTTTATAAAAAATATATTATTTCACTTACATTGTGTTTCTAATAAATTGTGCATTATTTGTGCAAATTTTATGAATAGAAAATGTAGTAACATAAAATACTTAGGGGAGTTGTGTGCTTTTGTTCCATATAACGTCAAATAGGATCTCTACACTTAGAGTACCCTCGAATTCTATCAGTAATTTGTAGTAACCTGAAAACGAGGGTACCTTGTAGATGCCATTAACAGTTTTAGTTCTTTAGCATGTTCTCTTATGTACATATGTAAATAAAATTAAAAATTTTTTAACTAGAATAATTAATCGTACGTTTGAAGTCGAACTGACATTTGGTTACATCTCGAAACATACAAACTTATAAAAAGTTTATTTGAAGTAATTCTATTTCTCCAATGTTCCTAAATGCCTTCGGGCCACGAAAAACTATCGGTGGCTAACACTTTATTTTCATTAAGCCGGCGGTATCTAAATCAGTCAATTCATTCGAGTAGGAAATTGCACTATCCTAAAAACATTACATTTTCAAAGTTTGGTGGAAAAACTACCTTAATGTGAATCTAGAAGTGTGCATTTTGTATTGAATTTAAGTTGCATGAGAACGTGTAGCCGTGTATGAAGTAATTAGCAAAAGCACTTGACTTATTAATATAATGTTTTTTAAATATTTGAGGAAAATTTTATTTTTTTCTTTGTTTTTAATATAGATGTATCAAATATGAACGATCAAGTACAATGACGTTATGAATGCTGTTTTAAAAGCATCTCTATATCTATATTCCTTATTCAAACGAGCAAATATTTTTGGTCAAATACTCATAAGCAAAACTGGACATTGTTATTAAAGATGGTCGTTGAAATGATATATCGCTTCCAATTATGAACGGGTTTTCTATTTTGCTTACTTGACGTGTGAAAATCATTGCAGTTAACCGCAATATGACACGTTTTTATGATAGTTAGTATGCGCATCTAAACCAGCAAATTTCTTTTATTTCCTAATCACAGTGCGAAATCATTTGTGTTGTCTAAAATAATTTTTGAAAAACTACAGTAAAGTAAAGTAAACTAGAAACATTCACAAATTGCGAATTGCCATAGAAGTTGCGGATTTCGAAAACTTACGACACGTACAGAACGTACAGAACTTTTCTATAATATTACACACGTATCGCAGATTTTTTTCTTAACTTTGCTTACCATTGTAGTTTGTTTCTTGCACTTTGCTGAGTCTGCAAAAATATTTAGCTGGGTCTGGCCCTCAGGAGTTGGACATTGATCAATGTCGACGTGACGGAGGTCAATATCGATTCCACTGGTACCTCTAAAAGCACAAAAAAATTAATCAGTATTACCAGTTCATAGAAAACCAAATCGCCTGTTGTTATTTACCAAGTTATATCTACGAGATTTGCTCCATCAAGCTGGACTTTAATCAGTAAGGTTAATATAATAAAAATACTCAGTATTTCTTTCATACTAGTAGGAAGAATTTTATTTCTTTTAAGATGAAAATAATCAAGACTTTTACGTGTTTTTCGAAAACGGATCCGAATATCCTTCAATGAATTGAACATGAAACTGGCTAATCGATTGATGTTCCTGAAACACTATATCTTTCACTAATATACAGGGTGTCCGGAAAATTAGTTAGGAAATTTTTATGGGTGATTCTACATGCTAAATTAATTGTAGAAAGTCATGTAACAAAAATTCAAAATCTGAATATTTTCCGAGTGACAGCTCATCAAACTAATTTTTTTATCCTTTTAATTTTGAACTATTCTGAAAATTTCTTCGCGAAACAAATTGAAAATCGGTACATAGTTTTATCGTAGTGATCTCTAACTTTGTTTGTGAATATTTGCAACTGCTAGACAGAATAATTAAGAATAAACTCGATCGTTTGGTCTCTTAATACTTACTCTTCATACGTCATAGATTTGATTATATATATATATTTTTTATTAATATTGTTCCAGTTCCAATCTGTCCATTAGAACATTTAGCAACACTCCTAAGATGGCACAAGTGGCGGTGGTAAGCTATCAGTACAGTTATTCTCTTATGGCTGGTTGAACCTGTCCAGTGTTCAAGTGGGTTGATTCTGTTTATCCGGTGGGAGTAGGTGGCAGAGTCCAGAAGTAGTTTAATATTTTGCTGCAAGCTTTTTGATTTTAAATAGCAGACCTGTGTGCCCAACTCGATCGCATGCTTGTTGGACATCGAGGAACACACCACAACAGTACTGTTTTTGCTGGAGTGCTTTAAAAATTTTGTGAGCTACACGGTGAATCTGGTCAATTGTTGAGCGCCTGTCTCTAAAACCGAATTGGTGGTCTGGGATAATGTCTTCAAGTTAGATCATCTTTAATTCTGCACAGAAGAATCCTCTCAAAGACCTTCCACAATACAAGTAGTAAGCTGACAAGAAGTCGATAGGAAGAAGGTTGGTCTGCTGCTTTTCTTGGTTTTTGGATCATTCTTATGTGGGATATCTTCCACTGAGTTGTATAACAGCTTGTTCTTAGTGTGGAATTAAATAGCTGAGTGATATAGACAATAGCTTTTTGTTTGAGAGCTTTAACGATTTCTGGTGTTATCCAATCGTATCCAGGAGCCTTTGTGCAGTATAAGCCGACAATAATCCAGCGTATCTCTGCAGGGGTGGTAAATTTAATAGGATAGTCCATTGGTATTGGGCTGCTGAGGAAGTTGGATATATGATTTTGGAATTCAGGTTCACTATCTGCAGCCATGTGGTTTGGTGTAAATCTGTTACTCAAATGGACAACAAATACATGTTTTTTTTCTTCGTTTTCTCTGGCCCACCTTGAGTCAGCTTTCGTGGGAGGTTTATGCTGTTTGGGGCGTTTCAAATATTTGGTTACTTTCCATAGTGAATATTTGGTGGGTTCTGTGGGTGAAAAATTTTGAGGTCGATTTTAGAAATTATAATTTATTAGTTCCCACAGTAAGCTTTTGAGGGTTTTTCCAAGGTTGTTAAAGATTTTTTTATCATCTGGGAAGGGAGGTTCCTGTCATTTTCTTCTTGCCCCTTCTTTTCTTTCTTAAAACTGCTATTATTTCTCTAGAGTAGTGAATGCCATTTTGGTTGTTGTGTTTTGTATTGGAGGGTGTAGCACCATGTGCAGATTCATGGAGTTAGTTTTTCGGCTGCCTCATCTATTTCAATTTGGCATTTCAGTGCAACTTGTATATTTATATTCGCTTCTACGTATTTCTCATGGAAGTTCCAGTCTGTGTGGGCATAGCATAATTTCATATGTTGACTTAGGTAAATTACTTTAGAACTTACAGTGAGAGTGACTGGAGAGTGATCGGAACTTAAGTCCCAAACAAGATTGAAGGGATACATAATTGCTAGAAATACCTTTTGCAATAAAAAAGTCCAAGAGGTCTGGTGTCTTTTTGACATCAGTAGGCCAATATGTTGGTGCGCTGGTGCTTAATGGTGTAAAACTGGTTTTGTCTATATATTTCAGCAGTTATCTTCCTCTGGGGGCCGGGAATCGGCTGTGTTTAGCATTGCAATTATCACCTGATATGTATTTCTGGTCTAGTGTATTTAAATTTAGTTCAAATTCTTCTGTGGTTATGTTGTGGCGAGGTGGATAATATACTGCTGATATTACTATCTATAGGTCCTTTGGTACTGGTAGCTTTCCTATTGGTAGCTTGGAGGTGATATTCATCTACCTTAGTTAGTTCGTGATGTTTCATTCCGTTTCTTATGACAATTGCAGTACGCAGTGCGGACTAGGTGTTTGGTGTCGTATATGTTGTAACCGGAATGTAACAGGAATATGAAAATATGTCCGACCAGTAAAGTGTGTCTCGGACACCATAAGGACATCAATATTGTTTTTTGGAATGAAAAATTCTACTTCTTGGCGATATTGGGCCAGTCCGTTTGCGTTCCATAAAGCCAAAGTAACTCTGTTGTTGAATTTTAGAACAGTTTGTTTAAAAGGGGGATGAGAAGTGTGGCGAGTGAAGCCGTTTGGTCTGCTTGCTTGCTTAAGATATTTTCTAATCTTTGGAAATATTGTTCCATGAATGATTTGGCTTGGTTTGTTGACGTACTCAGTGTATGTGGAGAGATTGAGTTGTGTGAGTTGTGCTTCTCGCCATATCTGCATATGATATATCATCTGATTTTGTATGGTATCTCAAGTCTTTCTTGTGCTTGACTACTTGTTCTGGTTATTTGTGTTGTTGGAGGCTATTTTTTATATATTATTTTCATGTAAACTTTGCATCCTTCATAATTAGCTGGGTGTTTGTCTCCACATAGGGCGCAGATTGGAGGAGCTTTGGCTTCTCTGGTGTATTTCGAAGTTTCGTAATCGCCTGGACATCTAACGCACTTAAACTGTTTGGTGCAGTAATTTTTTGAATGGCAAAATGCTTGGCATCTGGGCCATTTAATTAATTATTTTCCTAGTGGTTCATGTTTTACTACTTTTGATGTTTTTCTCCCGGTTGTTAATTACGCATCTAACGCTGTGTGCTAGATTTTCAACCCTTTTGTGCAGTTTTTCCTATCATGAGAGGAGCAATTTTCGTCTGCTGAGGAGTTGCCGAGGAGTAGTAGAATGGATGATCAGATTTCAGATCAGATTTTCATGCTGGACAACTTGTGTATGGACAATAGTTTGCGGCTTTAAGCCGCAAAATTAAAGTTGAATAAATAGTTCGTTTTAAAAGTTGTATAAATATTACTGGACAGGCTTCTATTTTTATCAACAATTGTTAGAATATTTTCGATGTAGTGGAATTTGTTTACCTTATTCACTATGTCTGAATAAACACATCCCATCACTACAACGACTTATGTGAGACCGATTTTATATTTGGGCCACTTTGTATTATGCATATGCCGAATGTAGACCGATTTTTTGGGATTTGGATGTATCAATCCCGGTCGTTGTTGGAAATTTGGAACTAATTTCCAGAAACTACTCAATTTTTTCCAAATTCGTCATTATTTTGCAATTTATTAAACATTTATACCTTTAAAATAAGTCAGCAATTTCGAAATTTCTGCCTCGATGGTTTAGGCTTTCATCAGTTCTAACACTAACAGATTTTAAGTGATGAGGTGTCATTCCGTTGATTCATTATTTTCGTCAAGTGCTAAAACTGTTGTAGTCGCTATTGAGCAACAAAACATGCTCAGGCAATTGTGACATACTTCATTTTCTAAACCTTCTGTACTTTATTACATTCGTCGCTTCGACAGGGGTGTTTCCTCTTCAAACCATAATATCAGCACTATCTAAATTTCGAGTTGAAATTGTGTGCCTTAATTCAACGATGCTTATTTTCACGAAGTTTCAGCAAGTATTAACAAGAGTCTCAAAACTAATTGTATTAAAATGAGTAGGACTAAAGAGTATTAAATTATTTGCATTCTTACTTACAAACAATTATGTTGCGATACATGAGAGTAGTTTTGCGCCCTTCCATTTTTTCATACTATTCGCGACAGTTTCATAAAAGTGCCTGTTGATTTAAATGAAGCTATCTTGTTGAATCTTGAACCCTCACAGGCAAATGCTTCAATGTATTATATACGAAATTATTTTGTTGTTCACCTTTTCGATGTACTAGGCATCTTTATTGGACTCGCAACAGTTTATCATTTTAGAACCTTTATATCGCTTGAGCCTACATGGACATTTCTACTCGTACATTTGCAAATATGATTTAATTTTATCTAGGAGAAGTCCTATTGTTTTACGTTTTCTGACTGGTCTGTCAAGTAAAATTTTGTTTTTTTTTCAAATGATGCAATAGGGCAGCATGAAATATTTGATTGAAGCAAGCTTTGTTTGTTTCCGTTGGAGTTGAAAGCATAATAGGATCAATCAGTCTCAATGCAACTGAACGAAAGAAAATATGGTTTAATTAATTTTATTTAATTAAATTTGGTGTTAGTCTTAAATTTATAATTATGTAATTGCAGCCTATATAAAAACCTACATAACGTCCCTTCTATAATTGTATCTTTAGTATAATTGCTAGTTGAGAAGCCAATTTATGATAATTTTTCATGATTTTCGTCGTCTATATATGTTACATACTAAAAGCGATTATCCGAGTTTGAAGCCAAAAGTTTTCAATTCCCTAAGGAGCACTTCGTCTGCATTGTGCAGCTTAAATAGATCTGCACTTATTCGAGACTAGTCGTGATTGATGATATAATGTCGATAAAAGAACAAGTAAAGACATAGTAGAGTTACCAGAATCTTAACTTTAAATAGAGTAAAACCAGTAATGGGGTAAACACAGTTAAAG